GGCCGTTGGGGCGGGCGCGTGCCGACCGTTACCTGGAGCGGGCAGTCCTGCGGAGACTTCCCCGGGGGGCAACAGCTTCTAGAACTCTGAGGTGTGCGGGCTTCCCTGCGGACCCGTCCCGTGCTTTCCTTACGCTTCGGCACGTTCTGAGGGGACGAGCGCCTTGGAGCGAGGAGAACCGTCGAGCAAGACTCTTAGCACGCAGCCGGCTGCGCCAAGCAGGTCACAGTGCCACCCAAGGCAAGGCTACTTCTGGCTCGATTCATGTGTTGCTTTTCTGGGAATCATACAGTGTTTCCTGTCACAACATAGAGCGATAAAATCTGTTCTGCCCTCTCATGCAGGTGTTGGGGTAGAAAACCTCCTCAGTTTCCTGGGTGGGCTGCCCCTAGGACCCAACCACCACCATGTTTGGGAAAGCCTAGGGAAAGCGACTTAAACAAAACTGTGGTGTTTATTATATATGTTTCAGGAGTCCTTGATATCTTGTGTATCACTAACGCTGAGCATCACGCAAAATACAACAAGAGGCAGTTTCTGCCTAGACACAAAATATTTATACCCGCAGCTAGATCTTGTTCCCTGGACTTGGGACACCTGCATAGAAATAGAGGAATCAAAAGGAGTCAAACACTTTGCAGTTTTATATTGCTATAGTGGCTATTAGAAATACAGCTACTTCGTGAGGGCATGTATATGAAACCTTGTTTACTCATTTTAACTAGATAAAGTCTCCTGTGTTCTTTTTGTATGCTGCCAAAGTTCCTCTGTCCTGTATCCAAATTCTGCCAATGATTTGTCCCAGCATCAGGCATATAATGCACTAAGAAGAGTTAATAGAGAGGTAAAAGAGGCCCAAGATTTGCCATTTAAATTCATCATAGTAAGATTTTCAGGAATACATGCTAATAAAAATATAGTGCTGGTTAACATGTTTTTCTTTTACACCTTGCAGGTGTCACTGATTATTTCCAGACTTCCAGCAAATTATCAGTGTACCTGAGAAAGACATTTTCTAGCAGTTCAGTTCTTTGCAAGGATGTTGCTCTAGTCACCCTTTTTTGCTTCAGAGAAAGTTGGTGGCTGAGTCTTGCATTGTCCAAGTCAAGAAACATTTTCAAAATATATGCATAAACAGGTTTGAAATACCACTACATTTAACCTATATGCCCATAGTTAGCTCCCCTAAAGCTGTTCACATGTATTTCAATACCCATCATGGCTCCCCTCAAGCAGTTAATCCAATGCTACGTAGTAAATAGCATCCTTCATATTACCTATTAATTTCATTTTGATCAACATTTCCTGAGGTGTTTTCTCTCAATATGCATTACACTAGAAATCACCTTATTGAATTGTGATGTCTGTACTTTACCAGGTATGGAAATTATTTCTTAATTGCATCAAATGCAAAACTGAAGACAGGTTTGTTTCTTCTTCTTCTGGCCACGTTTATCTTAGTCTCTGACATTAACAGAAATGTCAAGTCACTTTAGCCAAGTGCAGTTATGGAGTAGTATATCTAAATAAAAAAACTGTATTATCAGAACCATAAAATATTTTAATACTGGGACCCAGAGAGCATTAATCGTTATCTTACATTGTATAGACCGCACACTTTTAAGCTTCATATAAAAACACAATTACTTGAAACACAATGTTACTTTGATCTGGCACACAGACTTCAGCATTTTTAAAACAGGAAAGTAACAAAAGCAAGAACGAGGTTAAGAGGTTTGACAGGTACACTTCTTAAGGCAAAGGAGCCCCAATCTGATCTTTCACCCACAGGCCACCTTTACTAATTCAATTACAATCATTGTTTGCCAGAAGAATCAGAATGGAGTTAGTTTTTAAATATTTGTCCATTCAAATATCATATTCAGGCAGTTAAATAATAAAAAAAAAAATCACAACTTGAGTCACAAAAGCAGTATGCAGACAAAACACTTGAAAGCAACAATTTCTAGGCTAGATTTTGTTAGTAAAATTATCCCACAAACAGTCAGACAAGTACGTTCACGGAAGACAGAATTCACATGAAACCACTGAGTAACCTAAAAAGAAATTAATTGAAATAACGTAGATTTCTTAAGAGCTTGATTTTTTTATTTAAGGGTATTATGAAAGGCAAGAAAATAACAGTCAATTGTTCTCCAACATTAGTATCTCCAACATAAAACAAGCCATTTAAAAACACGCAAAATCACTAATACTGTTATTGCTGTCCTTCATAACTCAGTGTCATTTTAGTCATCTCACCCCTATGAGATGACCTTTTCTGTGCATATCCCCACCTTTTTCCACAAGTCCCCTGAGTGACAGAATCTCATCCTAATCCCATTTCCATTTAAATGTTATAGAAAAGCATCATAATCATAAGCATAAGTAATCATAATGGAAAGATAATATGTTTATGAAATTTGGATTTCATAATAGCAAATTGAAAAATTACAATAGTATTTCAAGCCACTAAAGGTCAATGTCACTAAGAGTGCAAAGCCATCGATCAGGTATTTTTAAACTTTTCATAGTTTAGGTTATTTTTTAATAAAGAACATCCCTATTTCAGAGAGCACCTCTCTTCTGAGGTGATTCCTCATCTACCCAGTGATCACAAAATCTGGTGTTAAAAAGCAGTAGTTATTTGTAAGGAAAAGCCACAGTAGAAAAATATTTAGTCTATTTTAGCTGCCTTTTAAGCAGACCTAAAAACACAAAACAACTTCACAGGCCTCTACAAAACACACCATACACAACAGTTTAAGAATTCCAGTCCTAATGAATTCCTAAAGGTAAAAGCATATGGAAAGACTCATAATTAAATATAGCAAAAGAATACTTTGAATAATATGTAGTTGTACTTTTTTTAACTAAAGCTAAATTAGCTTGCTTACACCTAAAAGCTACACCAGAAGTGTACACACTGAAAAACAGTGAAATTTAACTGAAGCCCTAGACAAAAAAAAATTACTCTTAAACCTCGTCCTCAGCTATTTAAGGAGTTTCCCTCTCTTGGACTTCAGTTTTCCACTGTTTGAAAGTGCAGCTCAGACACACTAACAGCCACTGGGACTAGATGGTGTTATCTATGCCTAAACCAGCAGACCATGGTTGTCACCTGGAAGAGGTTTTTTTGTACTACTGCTCCCACTGAATGGCTCCCTGAATGAATGTTGTGAAGGACAGTCGTGCTCTTCCCTTCACCCTGTTCTTGTCCCTGCAGCCCCTTCTCACTTATGCCAGCTGGTTCCCAATTGATCCCCCTTGTACAGTGGGCCAGTTTGTTCACCAACCAAGAACTAACTGCTTTTTTTGATTAATTACATTTTAGGCTGGCCTGGCTTGCTGGAGCTGTGACATGAGCACTAGAGCTGACATGAAGAAAGCATCAGGAGGGCTCATCCACAAGCCAAACCACCCTTTCTGGAAGACAGTGAGATGTTAGATCAGATGCTGGAAGGGCACCCAGGTGAGAATCACCAGGCTTCCCCTTCTACCACAATCCTCCCAGCTCACAACCTCTTATAGAACAGATTTCACATATACCCCTTTTCTTTTACCCAAGAAATTTTTTGCTGCAAAATACTTCTAGTGATTTACATGGAGTTGTCTTACACTGTACTTTTATTTCTGTCTATTTTGAAACCATTTTGCATCATAACAGTTCACAAACTCAGATGGAGACTCTGGACATATCTATTACAATACCTCAGTACAAAGCAGTGCAGTTGTTGACAGTTGGGCTTGATGATCTTAAAGGTCTTTTCCAATCTAAACAATTCTATGATTCCATTCTATGAATAGCATCTGAGTGTCTGTTACGATGATTTGAAATGCAATTGTTCTTCTGTATTTAAGAATTTTAATATTAGAAAACATACACTGGTACCAAACCCAAGAACACCAACCTATTATCGGTATAAAATGATTAAGTAAGCATGGGATATTTTAAAATGTCTTAGGTCTAGAGGGCTCTCAAAGCTCACGTTCATCATTGTACACACAGGCAAAATCTTGGCGCACTCTTTGGCAGATGACCCAGTGAAGTGACTGATGTATGACCATTAATGTATTCACATAAATTAACTTCTGCACATAAAAAACACAGAGGCTTTAAGCCCAATTACATCTTCCTGAATTGTACAAATACTCCCTTTGCAGTCAGTGGCAACTCAAGAGGACAGGGCCAATCCATATGTTGTATTGATTCTAAAGGCACAAGAGTACGCAGTTAATCCCCTTCAAACCTTGCAGAGCACAAACTCTTGGAGACCTTCCAAGCAGCCAGATGAAAGTTGCATTTCAGAACCAGGGAATGTGTGTTGCTGGAGATTCCAGCAGATGCTGGGCCAAAACTTGGCCTTGCTTTTACCAGTGTAACATGAGAGTATTTCAGTGGAGATGCGTATATGTACACCAATATAAATATAAAACTGATCATTATCTTGCAAGATAGAATATAATGCTAACATCCTTTTCCCTGTTAATTCCTAAGAAAACCAAAGTGAAGATAAACAGATGGAAATATTGTCTTATTCCAGCTAGAAGTTTTATAACCCCCAAAACATTTGTCAGACACTTCATGATAGCTTTGAGGGTCATTTCTGCTGCTGATAGGTTTTACCTGGATATAATTCAGATATCAGAGTGATGATTGACAGTATAAATCTTCCCAAGTAGGTTGAAAATCATTACAAGTTGCAAATGCACCCATGGTCTGTGTTTGCATGTGAGTGGGATCTCCTGTACACATGACTCGTAGCATCCATGACAGTCATTACAGATGTGAAACCTGAGAATTTTCTTTCTGCAAGGTTAAAGGCTTAGAACCTTTAGATGTGTTTGCACTGAATTTTTGTCCATCAGCCAGCCACTGAATCTAAGTATTCTGAACCTATGCTATTTCACTTGGGTGTTGGCATTGCCTTTTTGTGCCATTTTCTAAACACCATAGGAATACAAAACCATCTCTCAAGCATAGCTCAGAAACCGCAGTCTGCCTCCCAAGATCCAGTTCAGAATCCTCAGATTTCAAGAGTGTAGCTGGATCATGCAAGTGACACTGAGGTTGAAATGAACTAGGTTAGTAAATAAATGTTGTATTTGTATGGTGTTGAAGTATACTGTTATGGCTGGCTAAGTTCCAACCTCAGTGCCCACTATAAATAAACCTTGTCTTGCAAAACAAAATAAAATGCCTGTATTATCCAAAATGAGGGAAGTCATTAAGACAGATTCCTCACCCTCAGTTTAGACAACTTACATAACAAAACTAAATATGTTCTTTTATAAATTTCACAACAACATAAACATGTAAAATGAAGGCTCTACGTTTGTATGCATTTTTAAATGGTAAAATTACTCCATATTCCCAGACTGTTGGGAAGTGTAAAGTATACGGAGAGCAAATGCTAATTTTTTAGAACGTTGAGGTCAGAAAGGCGAGTCATTGCTGCCCACTACATTACGAATGTCTTTCATTACTTTTAACTCTTGAACCATTTCAAAGAGTTGCCTCAAAACTTGCGGAAAACCAGCCATTATTCATGGATAGCAGCCTATAAATTGAGGCGAATCCATTCTTTGTCTTAGAA